CAGAGACCCTTAGGTTTGCCATTTTCAACTGCCTGACAGACCCAAGCTAGACACCTCAAAGGACCTTTTCCCTTTGAGGGTCTGGTCGGCTCCCCACCCGTTGTTCTCACACTCGGGGACCAGCAGGCGGTGTAAATGTCTTGAGCTCCGTCAGACGCCGAGCTATTTCTGATAGTGACCTTCTTGAGGGTGTCTCTAGCTGGCCGCCGCCACCTTCTCCCCCTCCTCTTTCCCCAGATGGCCTTCAGAGATCTGCCACCAGGCGGATCCCTGGTTCTGACTCTTTCCCCGCCTGCCCGTCAGTAGGGTGGGGCACAGCCAGGAGGCAGAACCCCACAACCTTTGGGTTCACCTGCTCTGGAGGCCAGGATTGCAGGTCCTGGGAAAGATATGGGGTATGGTCGGAGCAAGGACTCTCCGCTCTATTGGAAATATGGGGTGCCGCCATGTATTAGACACTCCGCTTCTTAGGCAGGCTAAGATTATTCTTCCCACTGATGGATGAACAAACTGAGGCTGAGAGGTACTTCCTGTCATTAGCCCCTAAATGGGGCTCTGACACCCTCAGGAATGTAGGGCCTTCTGAAAGCAGCCTAGAGCCATTGCTCTAAGATGCAATGGAAGAAGCTAGGACATCACCCCCCGCCCCCCAGGGAAGCATCTTGGAGAGCCATGTTAACTATGGGAAGCCTGACACATGAAGGGATTCGAACTGGGTGCCAGTCCAGAATGTTTTTCCATTTGTGCTTTCGCAAACATTGTTCAGCCATTAGATGGCCTTCTAATCAGCAAACCTCTGCCCAAAGGGCCAGATAGTAAATATCTCAGGCTCTGCAGTCCACAGGGTAAGTCTTTGTCGGCACTACTGAACTCTGCCACTGTCAAAAGAATACACATGGCTGTGTTTCAATAAAGCTTTATTTACGCAGAGGGGGCTGAGGGCAGGACTAGGGAGCAGTGAAGACATTTTCTAGGCACCCACCCCCATGCCTGCCCAGAATTCCTTAGAAACCACTGGACGATTCTCCACCCATCTCCAAACTCCAGTTGCCACGTGCGCTCTGCATGGATGCCTGGGAAATGGAGGCTGGGCCGTTCCACTGGCCTGCCTTTGACATTTCTCTGCCGTGCTCCTGTGGCTTCCATGGGCCCCCTGGGCAGCTCAACAGTCTCTGCCCTGTGCAGCCCCCCAACTGTGCCCTCGTGGGGTCTGAGTGACTGGCCCCACTGACTGGGGAGATTTTCTCCCCAGAGGAAAGCGTGCCTGTGTCTCGGTTCAGAACAGCAATCAGAACCCACCCCTATCCCCAGACATGCTGTGGGTCCTGGCTCTGAGCAACCTTGGGCATACTTTGTGGCCTGTTTCCTCATCTATCTACAAGATGAGAACAGTTCCCTCACCTCCGTTGGCATGTCCACGTAGAGTGGTCTTCTTTACTACCAACAGTGGCTGCATATGGTCAGTGTTCTATGTCATATGTATGAGTACTCTTGTAGCTGCGACCTGGTCCAAGAGGCCCCGCAAGCTCTGAATAAGTCTCCCTCTTGGCAGGAGACCCCAGTGTTTGCTTCAAGTTGGTTCCATGCCACCAAAAGTCTCTTGAGCAGGAACTGGGTCCTGTCCATCTCAGCAAGAATAAAAATCTGCCCCCACCTAGAGATTATTTTCCTTTTGCCTAGATTCTAGAATGTTCTTTCTTTGTTCACCCCCGCACTTTGCTGTTGCTTTTCCAAGAATCAGTTTCTGATGGTACACCCAGCCTGCCCCCACTGCCACACCCTTGAAGGCCCTTGCATGTGTCCTTTGAAATGGTCAGCTCCAGTCATTAATGAAGTATCCAAGTCTCCCAACTGGACTGTAAGTCTCAGGACACACAGTCGGTGTTCAGGAAGTGCGTGTCTACTAAACAAGAGGCCAGTGCTCAGAATAACAAGAAGAAGCTTTCCTAACTGACCGTGATAAAAATCATATGTTCTGCATCCAAACCACAAAAGAAACAAACTCTCTCCCATCTAGTCGATGCTGACTCATCGTGACCCTATAGGACAGGGCAGAACTGCCCCAGTGGGTTTCTGAGGCTGTAACTTTTTACAGGAGTAGAAAGCTTCATCTTTCTCCCGTGGAGTTGGCTGGTGGCTTTGAACTGCTGACCTTGCAATTAGCAGCCCAACCCGTAACCACTACACCACCAGGGCTCCCTGATTCACATTCTCCACACCTTTCCTCAACAGACTCTACCTGGGCCTTGCTGATCCTTCACACCACACTGACCAGCAGAAGGAAAATGCATCTGCCAATGTAACGTCACATTTTCTAGTCGCCATAGTTTTACCAAGTTTAAAAAAACAAAAACAAGAAATCACGGTGAAATGAATTTTGATGATATATTTTATTTCACCCAGTACATCCCAAACACTACCATTTTGATGTGTCCTCAGTAGAAATCCAGTGTAATCAACATAATACATTATTAATTATGAATGAAAAGTAGTCTTCCTGCCGAGTCTCTGAAATCTGGTGTGTATTTTACACTGGCTGCACATCTCAATTGGAACTTGCCACACTTGGACTCAGTAGGTACAGTTGGCTCACAGCGGCCATATTGGACAGCACATACTTAGAGGCGACGCCTTCTTTTTCCCAGGCTGCATTGCTGTGGAGGAGCGGGCGGGCCTCCTGGGACAGGCTTTGTAATAAGACATGAGAGAGCATAGCTCTCACCCAGCACTTGGCAGAGCCCGCCCCGCTACCCAGGCAAGAAGGAGGGGGTTGGACATACAAGACGGGAACTTGGCTACAGTCTTGTGATGCTCCAGGGAGACTTTTCAAAGGGCTTTCCACAGCTGATGCTCCCAACATCCTTTGAAGGAGATTGTCTTGTTGTTTTGTTGTATTGTTGTTGTTAGGTGCCAATGTATCAGTTCTGGCTCTTAGTGACCCCGTGTTCAATAGGAAGACACCGCTCTGCTCAGGCCCAGTCATTCCTACATTTGAGCCCATTGGTGCACCCACTGTGCCAGTCCGCCCCACTGAGGGTCTTCATTTTCACTGATGGAGCACGGCTTCATGTGCATGACGTCCATCTCCAGGCACTGCCTCCCTGAAGACATGCCGTGTTAACATCCCCATGTGACAGATGGGGATGGCAGTCAATTTTGACTCCTCGTGGCCCTGCGTGACTATGTATGTCTCTAAGGGAGCAGGTGGCCAGGTCTTACCCCCCGCAGAGCCATGGGTTGGGTTTGACTTTCCAGCCTGAGCCTTCCTTAGCAGCTGAGCTCCTTTCACTGCACCGCTGATGGGGAAATAGAGCCACTGCCACTTAAAGTGGCCTTCCTGTCCGAGGACATGCATCTAGTAAGTGGCGGGGCAGGGATTTGAACCCAGGCAACCTGTCTCCTCACCTATGCTGGGAGGCCCCTGGGCCGGCTGTGCAAGTGAACAGTCACCTCAGGAAGGGCCCTGGTGGCAGGGAGAAAAGCAGAGGATCCAAGACAAGGCCTTGCACAGGCTCTCAAAGCAACACATCGCACTGCCATCGAGTCAGTGCTGACTCACAGAGTAGGACAGGGCAGAACTACCCCTGTGACTTTCTGAGACTGTCACTCTGTACTGAGTAGAAAGCTCTGTCTTCCTCAGAGTGGCTTGTGGATTCAAACTACCAACCATGCGATCACAGCCCAACTCATAGCCCACGACACCACCAGGGCCTCCTCCACAGGACCTCTCACAGATGCAAATCACCAGGGTTTGTCATCCCATCACCAGCTGAGCACCTACTGTGTGCTGACTTTCATGCTAGGTGGAGAATTTTATAACAGATCACCCTCTTTCTTCCTCATAACCCTAAATGCCCCAAATCCTAAAAACACCAAACCTACTGCTATCCAACCAATTCCATCTCATAGTGACCCTATAGGACAGAATTTCTGAGACTGTGACCCTTTAGGGAAGCAGGCTACCGCATCTTTGTCCCTGGGAGCAACTGGTGGGTTCCAACCACCCACCTCTCAGTTCATAGCTGAGCGCCTTAACCATTGTGTCACCAGGGCCCCCTCCAACTCTGAGAGAGAGAGAGGTCAGGAAATAGATGGGCCGAGTTTTTCAGGAAGCTGGCATCTGAGAGAAGGTGTGCTGGTGCCAGGGAGAATTGTCTGCCCCGCCCGGGAAGGGCCCATAGCCAAGGAAGTGCCTTGGCATTTATAGGATGATTTGTGAAGATAGTGGCCTGTGGGTCTCAGGAGCTGGCGAGGACCAGCTTCAAAAGGGTTGACCCACCAAGAGCAAAATGCCAGCATCCTGGAGGATGCAGGGGCACCGAGCAGTGGGTGTCAAGCCCTTCTGGGCCCTGAGAGAGACTCACCCTCTGGGGAGGGCTGGTCCATGGGCATTTAGCCAGTTCCGTTCTCCCTGGCCACAGCACACTCTGTGAACAAGAGATTGATTGCGTGAGCTGGCTATCCAGTCAGTCAAGTAGTCCTCCAGTCCGGTGTGCCAGGAACAGGTTCAGGCAACTCTCTTGTCCTCTATGTGTTGAAGCTGCATGATATCGAAAAAAAAAATTTCTCACTATTGCATTTTATTTTCAGGAATAAGATATATTGCTCAGAAGGGTTCCATTTCCCCTCAGAAACGTATCAGATTTGAACTTAGGCATTGCCCTTTCATTATAATGGCAACAGTAGCTATCCCTAGCTTGCTGTGTGTCAGGCCCTGGGCCAAGTGCATAGATGCAGTTTCATTTAACTCCTGTGAGAGTCTGTTTTTATTCCCATTTAACAGAAGATACTGGGAGTCCCAAGGAGGCGGGATTTGAACCCCGCTCTGAACTCCTGAGCTCATTCTTTCAGCTCTGTTTCCCTCCCTCGAACACTAACGCTCCTGCCCCTCCCCTGTTGTCTCTCTCACCTGGTAGAAAGGTAGGAAATGAGCCAGACTTGAATTCTGCCCGCCTGGCGACCGTGGTCACGCGGGGTTCTTTCTCTTGTTGTTTCCAAAGGTGGTGGCCCTGAGCAAGAGAAGCCAAGAGGCAGAGGCGGCTTTCCTGAGCGTGTACAAGCAGTTAATTGAAGCCCCAGGTAAGAGACCCTCTGGATCATTAATGACAAGCAGTGGCCATCAGGATTGTTACAGTAGGATCGGGGCATCAGGCTTAAATCCTGGGAGACGCCTGGCCCTCCATGGGTGGAAGGGTAAGGTCCAGCCTGGGTGAAATGGGTCCCTATGCTGCTCATCCAGTTTTTCCCCACTGCCTTCTGACATCACCTGGGGAGCCTGTTTTGGATGGTCTCCTAGTGAGCTCTCCCACCTGGGCTTCCTTAGAGAGCCAGCTGTCTCACCTGCTTGAGCCCCCGTCCACCTCTGTAAAGGCTGGAAGATGCCCAGGGATCTCTGCTAGCAGAGGTGTCGGGGAGAGACTGCCAATGATTTCCCCTCATTGTTTAACCAACTCAAAAACCTCATGGAACAAACGCCAATCCCAAATGAGCAGGTGCATCCTAATTCCGGTTACAGCCAATGCACTCAGCTCACTGCCATCAAGTCAGTGCGGCTCATGGTGACCCTATGGGACAGAGCAGAGCTGCTCCTGTGGGCTTCTGAAACTGTAGCTCTTTGCAGGAGTAGAAAGCCTAGTCTTTCTTCCACAGAGCAGCTGGTGTCTGGAACTGCTGACCTTGCAGTTAGCAGCCCAATACAAAAACGGATCTGTTGACGCTTTTCACAGTGGCCAAATGGTGGAAATGACCCAAGTGGCCAGCAGGGGGCCCATGGCTAGACAAGATGTGGTCTGTCCACCCAGTGGTATACTGTTCCACCTTGAAAAGGCTCGGGTTCTGATGCAAGCCAGCACATGGGTGAAACATGCAAGCACGCCAAATAAGAGAAGCCAGACAGCAAGCATCATGTATTATAGGAAATGTCCAGAAAGCAAGGGTTTGGTTTGCCAGGAGCTGGTGGGAGTCAGGGGTGGGGGATACAGAGTTAATGCTTTAATGGGTCTAGGATTGCCTTTGAGGGGATGGAATGTTCTGGCACATTTAGATCGAAGTGTTGGTTGCAGAACACAGTGAAGGAAAGAAAAGCCACTTTAAAATGACTAATTTTATGTTTAGTGGATTTCCCCTCAATTAAAGAAAAATACATCTGTGCTGTTAGAAGTCAAGACAGAGGAAGAAAGCCTTGGGGGCCTACTTCTGAAAGATCAGGCATTGAAAACCCTGTGGAATTTTTTAAAAAATTTTTAATTTAAAAGACCAGCTGCTGAAGCTGCTTATGTACAACTAGAAGTCTCATTGTATTTAACTGCTTGGTTTGGATGTTTAGGGCCATGGTTTCAAGGGACATCATAGTTGAATGGCTCAATCTCCTGTTCAGTGTTTCTCTTCTGCCTCCTTGTTTATTATCTGGGGTCTTAAAAACTTGCAGGCAGCCATCCAAGCCATCTCAATTCACCTGGAGCAACAGAGAGGGAGGGTATAACACGTGTGGGGTGTTGCCTTCAGGAACAGCTGATGGCTTCCTTTGCCTTAGGACCAAGAGAACTAGATGGTTCCCAGCTACTATTACTGAACATGTCGATCAAAGACTCCCAAAAGGGAGGAGATATTTCAAATTCTCCTGTACTCTAGACTTCTGAAGCCATGGAGGCTGAATGTGCCCCTCAACCTATGCCTCCGAGATCATCATTAAACCTCAAACCAAAAGCATCCCCTGAAGATCTCTTAACACCAAACACTCGCTTCACTAGTAAAGAATGTCAGCCCGGAGCATTGTGCTCTTTTATAAACTACCTGGGTGGGATTCACTGACAATAATAACTCGGACCATTAGACAGGACCCTTAGGGCGCAGTGAACACCTGCTAATGGGGAAAAGGAGGGTGGGAAAGGTTGCACAACTCCAAGAAGGTCCCGCATGCCACTGCAGCATGCGCATCCAGTGGTTGGACTGCTGTTTGTTTTTCTGCACACGTGTCCTCAACAACAGTGGGTTCTGTTGGTGCGACCATTTGAGAACATCAACTCTACACGGTTCATGTAGGTCTGTCCATTCTAGAAAATGGTGAGCAAAAGTTCCCTTGCTGTCCTCTCACTTGTTGACCCAGAAACAGGAGCCACCCCCAAAGGGGAAGTGAGCTGCCATCGAGTCAGTGCCAACTCATAGCAACTCTATAAGACAGGGTAGAACGGTCCCCGTGAATTTCCAGGGTTGTAACTCTAAAAGGAGTAGAAACCTCATTGTTCTCCCACTGAGCAGAGCAGCTGGTAGTTTCGAACTGCTAATCTTGCAGTTAGCAGCCCGACTCGTATCCACTACTCCACCAGGGCTCCTCAAAGACTATAAGACAGAGCAGGACTGCCCCCTAAGGAACCCATGGTGGTCAATCTTTCTGGGAGCCTGTTGCTTCATCTTTCTCCCAAGGAGCAGCCGGTGTAGTCCAACTGCTGACCTTGTGGGGCACCGCCCAACATTAACTCACTGAGACACCGGGGCCCCTTTTCCAAGCTCTCCAACTGCTTCCGAGTGATAATGATTCCATAGCACAAAGTAGAACTGCCTCTGTGGGTTTCCTAAGCTGGAAGTCTCTACAGAGGTAGAAAGCTTTACCTTCCTCCTGCAAAGCTGTTGGTGAGTTTGAACTACCCGCCATGGGGTTAGCAGCTCCACACATAACCCACTCTACCACCAGGGCTCCTTATTTCACTAGCTATAGAGAACGCGTACATGTGATGCCAAGGTCACCAGTGGGAGTCTTTGTATTTAGGTGGGAAAGTTCCTTGTTCCCTCACCTTGGGCAACAATAGTAAACTGAATAGTGTCCTCCCAAGACTCATGGCGGCCTGAAACCTCCAAACTGGGTCTTATATGGGAATAGGGCCTTTGCAGGATGTTGAGATAAAAGCACTCCGGGAAGAAGGTCATGATATGTAGAGAGGCGAGGACCCGTGGAGACCCAGGGAAGACAGCCAAGTGCAGGATGAATAGCCAAGGACCACCCAGAACCCCCAAAAGCAAGAAGAGACCAACGGTCTCTCCCCAGGAGCCTTCAGGCCCTGACTCTGAATGCTATCTTCCAGAGACACTGGTGAAGCACGGTGCTTCCTTACACAGCCCTAAGAGAGTCAGACAGTGTTGCTGGCACGCAGCTTCTCCTCGGAGAGCTCTCTGCTGGACAAGCAGGGGATTCTCACTCGCTGCTCCTCAGAGTGCGGCCCCTGGCCCAGCAGCAGAGCCTCCACCAGGAGCTGGTGAGAAGGCAGACTCAAAGGCCTAGCTCCTGGCCCACTGACTCGGAATCTTCATCGAATCTTCAAGCCAACCAGGGGGTGTACAAGCCACCTTACAGTTAGAGAAGTGCAGGCTCATTGGTAACAAGTCCCATGGGCACCGTAGAGGGGGGCGGAGTCCAGTGCCCTGGGATACCCAGCCTAGGTCCGGGCTCCGTCAAATATTCCCAGAGGATGTAAGTCACAACCAGCACATTTCCTGTGGCTGCTGTGACGAATGGCCAAGAGGGACTACGGGAGCAGGAATGTCTTCTCTGGGGTCAGGGAAACCTCAGCGTCCCCACAGAGCTGCAGCCCCTCCAGAGCCCTGGGGAGAAGCCTTCCTTGCTGACATCCTAGCATGCCTTGGCTCATGGCCACATCACTCCCATCTCTGTCTCTGGTGCAATTCCTTCTCCACCTTTTTCTCATCAGAACTCTTGTCACTAGGTCTAGCGTCCACCCAACAATCTAGGGTTCCCTCATCTCGAGCCCCTCAATGCCATCTGCAAAGACCTTTTTTTTCCAAATGAAGGCCACATGCTCAGGGTCTGGGAGCTAAGACGTGGGCAGGTCCTTTTGAGGTCACTGTCTATCCTGCTGCAGCGACTTCCTGCTGGCCCTGATCTCGTGCCCTCTGGAGCTCAGCGTGTGTTCTCTCTTCAAGGAATGCCTGGCTGTGGGAATGTGGTCTGAGCTGATGGTACAGCCTCAGGGAGGCAGCCCTGGAGCCCGAGGTGCACGCTGTGTTGGTGGCGATGTTCCCTGACACCCTCTCCTGGACCAGGCTTTCAGGTGGTCCATAGTTGCCGATAACGTTGCCCTTCTCATCAGTGCCATCCTGCTGGCGCAGTGGTTCGGTACTTGCTTGCTAACAAAGAGGTAGCTGAGAGAAAGATGTGGCTGTTTGCTTCCATAAAGATTGCAAGGGCATCATTCAGAAACGCCACCGGGCAGTTTCTACTCTAGCCTATGGGGTCTCTGTGGGTTGGAATTGACTATGGCAGTGAGTTTGGATTTGGGGCTCTCAGTCCTTGGTGACCACAATGTGAGCAACAAGCAATGTTGAAGGGTGATGCAGTACAGACCCAGGGATTCCTCCTGGAGGCCCCAGCCCCGTCCTCCACCAAGCTCTGCAGTACCACACCTAGGGCACCAGGGGGCAGCACTCGGAGGGTTGTGTTTCTAGGCTTTGGGGCCAGACTCAGATTTGAATCCTGCCATACAACTTACTCCGGGACCCCAGACAAGTTACTTCCCTTTCCTGAGTTTCTGTCTCGTCATGAGTTGAACATAATACTCGAGGCTGCCTCACACAGTCTGGGGTCTAAGTAGCCTGGTCCATTCAGAAAATGCATGGTAGGTGCTTAATGAAGGGTTAGCAACCCTCATCACTATCATGAGTCTGGCTTCCCCAGGAGATGGAAAACCTTACAACTCTGGGACTCGATCTTATTACTAAAGTGTATCTTGAGAACCCAGGACACAGCTGTTAACTGCCGCCGAGTCACCTCTACACACACACACACACACACACACACACACACCTGGGTGCTCCCAGCGCTCCAGAATGGAACTGTCCCATAGGGCGTTCTTGTCTGTAATATGCACTAAGGCAGATCCCCAAGCTTTCCACAGAGACATCGAGAGGGCTCCAACCACCCACCTTTCATGTACCAGCCCGTTGTGAACTGCCTGTGACATCCAGTGCTCCCGCCTACTCCGTGCCAACCAACAGCCCACCACACAGCCCCCACGTCAAGTCCGACCCACTGCAACCCTGTATAGAGTTTCTGGGACGCTAAGTCTCTG